GATGTATTAATATTATATTTTATTATTACAGATCAAAAATGTCATTATTATATAGTATTGTTACACAGATCTGCATGCCTGTCCTATAAAATGTTGAAGTTTTAAGATCACCTGAAATTAAGCACCTCTATAATAAAAAAAGAGTGTTTAATTTTAGAAGTATACAGTATTATTTTTATATAGATAAAAGAGTTGAAATATTATAGTAAAGTTAGTAGATTTTCTATAGTTTGTTAGAATTGTATTCTAAGTTAATGAGGGTTTTTATATTTAAAAGAGCCAATTTTTGATCTGATATATAGAGATTTGATTTCGAAGTATGTTGGTGTTAAAGCATCTTTTTATGTTGCTACTGTTAACTTGTAGCATAAGTTTGTTAAGTGTTGAAATATTGAGTATTTGTAGGTTGGTAAGTATGTTATTTTTTGTATTAGTAGATAGATGTAGCATGTGTTTAGTGCATTTTGTTAGAAAGCTTAAAAGTTGTTGAAGTTTATTTTTTAAAAGAGAGCATATTTGGAGTAAATATTCTATTAATGATGCTAGAATAGTATTAAACCAATAAGATATTTGTATAGAAAGACATTATCAATAGATAAAAATATAGAATCATAAATATCTAAATATTTTAATTGTTTTTTATATATTTTTTGAATAAAATTATATGTAGTATTTAATTTATTTTAATTTTTTTTATTAATTCATCATAGTATTCATTTTTAATAAGTTTTTCTTTATTTATTTCATTTGTTATTTTATCTTTTAATGATAAAAATAAATTATTATTAGTATTTTTATTTATATTATTAAAAAAAAGATTTAATACAGAATCAATTAATTGATTAGAGTAATTATTTAATTTTAAATTTAGATAATAATTTATTTTAGTATCATAATTATAATTTATACAATTAAAAGGTTTTATATTAAAAGATGAATACTCTAAACAAATATATAAATTTATACTTTTATTTTTAATAAAAAATAGATATTTAATCAAAATTTATATTTATTTTATTTTTTAAAAAGAAAAAATTTGTAGCTAATAAAAAATTTAAAAAAAATATTAATATTTTAATTAAATTTTTTTTTTTAACTTTGATGACAATACCAGTTAGTTTATTAGTTTTAATTTAATATAGTACAAATTTATAATTACATTTTAGGATTAATTATTACTAGTACTATATACTATCTAATTTCATATCACTTACTTCATCATGTTATCCTTATAGCACCTAAGTGCATGTCTGCTACATGTCTGCATGCAGTTACCTTAACAACTACTTGCAATTAGGACACAACTTAAACTGCTATACAGACAAGAATATCTACTGAACTTAATGTGATATTCCAAATGTCAAGGGTACTGTTTTTTGTAAATCGTATTTATGTGTTTTACTCACATGTTTTATCTAGTTTTGTTTCTTTTGTTTCCTAATCTAACTATATTTAGTATTTTCTTATTCTCTACAGTTCTTATTTTTTTGTCACTATATTACTTTCAAATTGGTCCTACTTGGATATGTTTTATTTTTATGATCTTTTATCTTTGATATATCTGTTATTAATTTTCTTTAAAGTGTTCTAATAATGGTTCAGAATCTGTAATGAACCTATATCTCAAACCAGGCCTGCTGTCACCATTAGTTTTTTTAACCAATTTGTATCTCAAGCCAGATTTGCTGTCACTGTTCCTGCAGATGCCCTAGGTCTTAACATCATACAGTAACTTAGTGCTATATTTAACTTTTAACATGGTGTTCTCTTTATAGTAAATACTGAAACTTGTTGTACTTACAAACTAAACAATTTTGGTTATACTTAGGGAGTTTTTCTGACTCTAGTAATACTATACTACCATATATTGCAAACTTTCAGCTTATTCAATAATATCTGCAGAACAATTCTAATTATATTCAGAAAATTATATTAACTCCAATAATGCTGTACTATCTTGCAGATCTTATCTCACATTGGTTGGTTGATTCCAATCTTGTTCATTATAGACTTCCATATAGATATACTCAGAACCTAATTTGGTATCTTTACATTGTACAAGAAAGTTATATACTAACTTCTAAGATTTTCCCTTCTATAATTAGATTATTCAGCTGTACTAGAGGTGCTTCAAATTTTGGTTTAACCAATTCTTTACTACATCTTATCTTTATGTTCACCACTTTTATTACCATTCCAGTCTTGGTTACTTTTAGACTATTTTTCTAATCAAATTCTCTTCTTAGGTTCTAATTAGGATTTGTTTGTACAATTTGTTGATTATTCTTCTAAGCAAGTACCTCACAAATTAAGTGCAGAGATGTTAGTACTGCATATATTAAAAAGTATAAGGATGTTAGTGCTGATCTAGTCTAAAGATCTTACATATACAATCTTTTCATAACTGTAACCTTCTGTAACAATTACTTGTTATATATAATTCCTGCACTTCATAATTGAGTCTTCTCCTAGGAATTTCTATTTCCATTATTGTATTGCACTTGACTTAACTACAGGGCTTCACATTTAATTACAAACTCCTTATTAGATTACAGAAGCTAAAATCTTTCAATTTTGTTTCTAGCCAAACTTAAACTGTTAACCTTAACTGTGAAAGATATAAGAGCTTAACTATTAAGCTATGAAACTCACACTTTATTTTATTTAATTTATTATCTATTAATATATTTATATATATAATTTATTTTTTTATTTAATTTAAGATATTTATCAAGTATTTTTTTTAAATTTTTTCTAATTAAAGAATTATTGTATTTTATAGTATTATAATATTTTGTATTTTTTATTTTATTAATATTTTTTTAGATTTAACTTTATTTATAATTACTTTTTTTGATTAATATTTTTATCTAAATTTTTATTAAAATTATTTAAAAATAATTTTATTGCATTATTTAATTTTTTAATATTATTTTTTTTTATTTATTAATTTATAGTTTTTATTGTCATTATTATAATAATTAATATAAAAATTATTAGATGAACAATCAATATAAGAAATATCAGAAGAACCATCTATGTATGTATATTATGTAGAGTTCATATTATATATTTAAAATAATAATAATAAAAATAGTATAATAATTTTTATGTTATTTAATTACTTAATATTTTTTTCACAATATTCAATATTAGGTATATATGCAATTATATCCATATTTTCAAGATTATTAATATATATTTTACAAAGGTTTAATTCATGAGAATTTTCAAGTATTGTAAAAAAAATTGTTTCATCATTCTATCACAGTTTTTATATTTACATAGTTAAAAATCCTTCTTTATCTAAATATTTTTTAATATAATTATTTTTTTTGTTTTAAATAGATTTTTTCATTACTACATCTATTTTATTATTTGTTATTATTATAGAATAATCTTTATGTGTTTCATTATCAAGAATTGTTTTAAAAATATCAATATTCATTGTATCATAAAAATCAAACCATCTAACTGCATTTATAAAATCTTTTTTCTTTATATTTAATTTTTTTAATATCTATTTTTTTCATTAAAATACTTTTTACAAAGCCTTTTATTTTTTTAATAAATTTGTTTTTCTTATTAATAAGAATTATATTAGATTTTATTAATAAAAGATCTTATACTTTTTCTATTAATAAATTTTTTAATTCTATATAAATTTTTGATTTGTAATTCATATCAATAGATTTTAATTTTGTTTTAATAATTAATAATTGTATTATATATATTAAGTTCTGATGATAATAATTTTCTATCAATATGTAAAGCCTATAATTTTGGATCTTTTATATTTGGATTTGGTAAATTATTATATATCTGACAAATAATATTTGCAAAACTTGGTTTAGGATTTCTTTTTACATCAATTATAATAGCTTCTGATAAACAATTTTTTTATATCAAAAAGTAATTGCAAATAAAAGAAAATTTTGATATTTATGATCATTATTATTTTTAGAAAAGGATAACCAAATATGTTTAATTTTTTCATTGGTTCTTCACTTGCAAAAAGCATTATTTTACTTATTAAATAAAATACAATATCATCACTTAGTATTAATTCTTTTAATTGTTATATAGTTAAAAAAGCTTTTCTTTTTTAAGATGTTCAATATGACTATTTGCTAAACTATACTTGCAACAAATAGAAATTGAACATTCTTTTCATTATAAATCCATCTTTCTGATCCAGGTCATTTTTCTAATTTTTCTAATTGTGTTTTTTCAGTTAATATTATATTATCAACTTTAGAACCAAATTTTATTTTATAATTGATATTTGCTATAAATAAAGAACTAGGTGCATTCCTTCAGTTATACCAGATATAGTAGATGAATTTGTATTATCAAATATTACAAAAGGTATATCACTTTCTTTTAATAATTTAATTTTTTTTAGTGTTAATCCTGATTTTAATATTGGTTCAGCATTAGTATCTTCTTTATCATTTATTTTTCTAGAATATTCATTTGCAGTTGTTTTGAAAAATATTTATGTTTTTTTATTTTTCTGATTTGTTTGATCAAAAACTCTAGTTATAGAATATATTTCTTTTGGTTTTGATATTGATATAGAAAAGTTTTTTTTAGAAAATGTAGCACTTATTAATAAAATATTATATCATATTTTAATTATTAGTGGTTGTACTACTTGATAACTTATATTAGAAAAATGTGCTTTATTAAATATGATAATAGTATTTTTTTATCTATTAATTTTTCTTTTATTTTTTTTAAAGCTTTATCAAAATCATTATAATTTTTTTAAAATCTTTTAATTTATTAATATTTACTTTTTCACATATAATATATCTAACTAAATAATATAATTGTAATATTGATAATGTTGATTTTTCTGATTCAGCACTAGATTTTTTTTTATATATTGGTTTTTTTTATTAATTTTACCTTTATCATCTTTTTTATATTCAATTAATTTATTTCATAATACTAATTCTCCATTTTTTATTGTTGTTAATCTGTAATTTTTTCTTTAACTACAGTAATAACAGAAGTTGTTCAACTATAAAATGATGATTATAACTTGACAGATTCTATACAAAGTCTATACAAGACTTAATAAAATACAGAGTAATTTAGGATTTTAAGGCAGAGGCAACAATAGATAGTATATAAAGATACTAAATATTGCATTCAGTTTATTCATTATTGAAATTTATAAAGATACTTAACTTTCTTGAAAGGTCAAAAAGTAGTGCTTTTATAGATATTATATATATATAAATTATTACAATAAAGACTATCTTAGTGAGCTAAATCAATAGTAATTGTTTTATTCAAATTGGTTTGGTACATCAAAAGTTATAGCCCAAAATATATAAAACTCTTAATATCAATACTGTATATAGTAATTCTCCTTGTTTTCTATATATAACACATTTGTAAGGAATATTATTACTATATTATAACTAGGTATTATAATAATTTTTAGCATTCAAGTCTTTTATTTTTCTTTCTAATGATTATTTGAACCAAACTTTTCAAAAAACCAAACTACAGAAAAATGATATAGTTAATATATTAAACTTTATAAAAACTTTCCAGAGTACTATACATGCATAGTTAAACATTGAAATAGAGTTGAAAAAGAAGTTGTAGCTTTGTGGTAATAGTTTAAATACACTTTGGGACTATAGAAGAAATAGTTGGTGAAAGCCAAAGCTTTATATAAAATAAACAACAAAGTTTGATATATTAGTCCTATACAACTGTAAAACCTACAAGAAACACCTATAAAGGTCAAGAACTCATAAAAGTTACAAAGTTGGTTTACCTCTCACCTTTACTTTGCTTCAAGGAAATTTTGTAAAAGTAAGTGATTTAGCTTACCCCCTGTTAACATTAAGAGTTTTACACATTTTTGACC